GCTGCCGCCTCTCCCTCCTCGGTCCCCGGGTGGCCGGCCCATCCCCCACGCCGGCGCGGCCCGAGCCATCTCTGGGTCCCAGCTGGCGCCCCCCTCTGCTGTCACCACACAGGATACCCTATCCTCTGCTTCGCAGGTCCTGGGAGTCGCCCAGACCTTCAGACTTCCCCTCAGGCTCTGTACCTACCCTCAGATCACCATGCTGCTCAGATCCCTTTCTCCAGCCCTGGCCCTTTCCCAGCATCCCTACCCCACCTGCTCTTAGACAGCCCATAGCTGCTTCTCTTTCCTGTATCAGTCTTGCCGGTTCCTCAGGTCTTCCAGTACCTGAGATTCCACCCCCTCTCCCTTGTCATCTAATTTTGAGGGGTGGGGAAGTGGGGTCGTCAAATAAGGGACAGCAGGTTCTCTCAGATAAAGGGCACTGAGGGGAAATATAATAACAGCGCCCCCCTTCCTGTTCCTGATCTGGTTTCCCCCTTCCCTCCCCCTTGCCCTTCCTGATTCATTTTGCCCCAGCTTCAGGGAGCCATTCCCCTTCACGTTGGAGGGCAGGCCGAGGGCAGAGAAAGGGACTATTTGGGGGACTTCTTTAGTCAGTGGGTTGGCCGAGATCCCTGGGAAGGGGCACTGGAGTGAGAGGGCCCTGGGAGATGCTGGCCTCTGCCTCTCCCCCAGGAGCCCTCATCTAGGTCACCAGGGCCTCCTGACCTTGGCCTGGAGCAGCTCTTCAGTGGCTCACATTCCACCTGCACCCGATTGGGCCCAGGAGCCCTCACTTCCAGCCTGGTGTCTGTCCCCTCAGTTCCTGAAAGAGAAGGTGGGGAGGGCCCACCTGACCCCAACCCCAGTTGGTGCTTCTGGACTTTAGCCCAGGGAGGAGGCTGTTCAGGAGTTAAGTTCTCATCCTAGAGCAGGGACCTAAGTGGGGCCTGGACATTCTCGGAGGATGGACATTGGGAAGGTCAGGCTACAACTCATGCTCAGGTCCCTGGGGCCTCTGCCCCATTGAGGAGTGGGCTGGGGTGATGGGGTGGGGCACAGACAGAACTAGGGGACTCTTGCTCTCCCCTCTCCATCCCACCCCTCTGTCCCTACTGTTTTCATTGGGTTTAGGTTTCCTGGCCCAGATTGAATTTCTTTCTGGGCTGAATTCCCATTCTCCACCCAGTTTGTGAGGAAGCCCAGGGCTTAGGAGAACCCTGGGGCAGAGTTGAGGGTCTCTAAATAAGAAAGACTGAGACTTAAAGACTGGGAACTGAGAGCCACAGTCTGTCTTGCTTTCTGATGAAAGCCTGTCTCCAACTTGGTCTGTCTTTCTTTCTGCCAAACACATCATATATTCACACAGATAAACACACAGCTGGAGATTACACAACCTGACCATTCGTAGTGTCAGCAAAGCCCCCAACACAGAAATGTTGATAAAGAAACGACATACACACAGAACATGACACTCCTTCACACCCCACCCCTGCACAGATTGATCACAGCCTGCCTAACACACAGACACACCCATCCTTCTCCTGTTTGGCTTTTCCTTGGATGTGACTGGGGCTTCCAGGAAGCTGACGGGAGGTGAAAAGAGCCACACAGAGGCTGCTTCCAGCGAAGGGCAGGCCAAGAGACTGATGTTTGTCTGGCCAGTTATCTGAACTCAACCATGGCTCCTGCATCTTCCACTACCAAAACAGGACAGAGTAGGTGAGGCCACCGCCCAGTTCGCAGGGATGCTGAGGCTCCCTTCCTAACAACCCCAAGCAGCTGGCCAGACTCCTAGGGGAGGCAAGGAGAGTCAGGACATCTCCCCTTCACATTCCATCTCTCCAGTAGCTCACTGGGACCCTGAAACCTGGGCACAGGGACTCAGCTGAGGTGCTAAAGACCCCTAAGTCCCCAACGACATCTTGATTCCTCCTGCCTAGACCATAAGGTTTCCAGCCTTGGTCAGTTTTTATGAGGTTCCAGTGATCACCCAATCCTCCCGAGCCTGAGGAGGCCAGCGAGAGGCAAGACTGCTCAGGGAGGTGGCTTTGTGCCTCCAGTCCCCTGGCTTTATCACTACAGCCAGAAGACTCAGAGAAACTTCCATCCTCCCCTTCCTCGTGTGAACTCTTGGCCGGAGACTAGGAAGACATCTGCTGATCCAGGGTGGAGACCGAGATGGTTCCTAATCCCGCCCAGCCCTACAGCTCTGCCCCAGAAGCCCTGTTGATCAGGGAGACAGGGTTCAGAAGATCACTGGCCTTAGGCCAGCCCAGCTGTTCAGGTTCCCTTTTGTTTGTTTGTTTGTTTGTTTTTTGAGATAGGGTCTTGCTATGTAGTTCAGACTGGCCTTGAACTATGTAGGCTAGGCCGGCCTCAAATAGTGGTCTTCCTGCTTCAACCTCCTGAATGCTGGGATTACAAGCATGCGCCACCACACCCGACTTTTCGTTTGATTTTCGAGGCAAGGTCTTGTATGTAGTTCAGGCTGGCCTTGAACTCATTATGTGGCCCAGGCTGGCCTGGAACACAGGCAATCCTCCTGCCTCAGCCTCCCCAGTGCTGGAATTATACACATGAACCACCATACCATTTCCCATTATTTTCTAGATCCACCTATTTTCTCCTGAGTTGTTACTCCCTCTAATAGTGGCTGTTTTAAGGAAGTTTAGCAAGTAAGAGTGTTAGGGCAAGCTGGGGCCCGGAGATGGGAAGCTGGGAGCATCAGTCTCCTGGGATCAGAGGCTGCACTTGCCAGATAGTCACACCCTAGAGTGGGGCCAAAAGGTTCAAAGGCTTCAGCGGAAGGCCCTTGGATCTTGTGTTCTTTGGGACTTTGTGTCTCAGTAGGCCTCTGGTCAACTGGAGATAGGTCAAAGTGAGAGTTGGACCTTCATGGCGTGAGGAACCTAGGGAGGAGCTCAGGCTTAGTCCTACCTCTGCTGTGAAGTCATGGTGTGGCCTTGGGAAAAGCACTTCTGCTTTCTGTGAAATGGGAACATTGGGCCTGTGGATCTGTCGGGACCTCTCAGCACTATGAAGATTGGGCTGGAAAGAATCGTGGGATTGGGACTCAGAACCCCAGGTATATTGAGGGATGGGAGGAGGCTCTGGAACTTTGGTTCGACCCAGCTGCTGCTGGGGGTGGGTGGGGATAGTGGACACAGCTTGTGCTGGGGTCCCTGGCTCACCCTAGTCTGCCTCCACAGATGGACCCTGTGCAGAAGGCTGTGCTCTCTCACACCTTTGGGGGACCCTTACTCAAGACCAAGCGGCCCGTCATTTCCTGTAATGTCTGTCAAATCCGCTTCAATTCTCAGGTAAGACGACAATCACACAGCCACCCAGCAGGTGGGTGGGACAGGGGACTTGGAGGGCAGAGGCTGAGAGGTCGAGGTGAGGGGCAGGGATTAAATTAAGGGGAGAGCAGAAAGTGGGAATACTGCAGGAGGGGCAGGGGCAGGCACTTGAAAAGAACAAGTTTGCTGCATATTCAGGCATGAAGTTTATCAGTCCTCCAAAGCTGACCTCTCCTTCCCTTGGGGACTTAGGGTATCCCTAGCTCAGAGCTTCTTGGAGCGATGGTGTCTGAGTGGAAGTGTGGCCTCTGCCCCCTTTGGTTCTTAGGTAGGTCATTGGCTCCCCTGCAGTGCCTGTGTCCTCTTTGCCCTCTGATAACTCCTCCTCTGGCCCACACAGTTCCCTCTAACCTCCTGGTTCCCTTTTCTCTATTCATTTCTGCTCTTTTCCCTCCATATCACACATAAAGTTCTCCATAGGGAGAAACCACCCAAAGCCCAGAACCTGTGTGTCCAGCCCCCATATTTCCTCCCTCTGAGGCTCCACTGGGACTTCTGTCTGGGTGGAGAGGGGACTTTGTGGGGTGCTGGCTCTAGGAGATTTCGGAGAAAAACAGAAGAGCCTCCTTCCACTGAGTAGGCGAAAATAAAAGCATGCTCTGTTTCCCTATCCAGTACACACACACGCGCGCACACACGCACACGCTCACACACATGCTGCATGCCACTGGGCCCTGCATACCACTGCCCTCCCCTGGGCTGTCAATCTTCTTTTCCTGCCTATCCACACCTTTTATTTCTACCCCTGTCTAGGTGACCTTGTGCCTCCAGGATTGTACATTCTTAGCAGTGGTGAAAACAGAGTGGAGGGTAGGGGCGGGCAGCAGGTAGGGGAGCCGGGGCCAGCAGTTGCACTCTTCTTTAGCTTAGGCCCCAGGCATCTCCTCTACCAACCCTCCACACACTGACAAAGGGGACGACATCTGAGGGGTGGGAGTGAAGCCAGCAGACAGCCCTGTTCTCCTTTCGCACTCCCCTTCCCTCCCCCATCAAGTGGCTCTGTTTTGACAGCTGTCTCTGCTGCTGTCTTTGCTGCTGTCTTCTGTCTCCAGAGCTGGGCTTGAGGCCAGGGTCCTCCTAGGTGTCCGCAGAGGCCTCAGGGAAAATGAGACCCAGGGGGAGAAGTCAGAATAGAGCAGGACATCAGAGCTGCTACTCTGAGCAGGATGCTGGCAGCAGGGGCTCAGGTCCTTAGGCCTAAGGCCTAAGAGGCGACAACTGTCTGCACTGTTTGCCCCTTCCCAATTTAGAATTCTTTCTTGGGTTTGGGGTCCCCCTCCCTTCACCCTGGGCTGGGTGAGAAGCCTGAGTCTGCAGCCAGGCCTCAGGTGTGCATTCTGGGCTAGGTGGGGATCCAGAGTCCCAGAGACTCAAGCTTGAGAAGCTCATCTGAGCCCCAGGAATAACGAGATTTATTAGCATGGGACTTCACATCTCACGGGTATAGGAAGAGATTCACTGCAGCCTGCTGTGGCCACCCAAGGACCTGAAGCTCTGAGGGGACATCAAGCAGATCAAAGGTGTCCTCAGCTTCTGTTTTCTTCCTCCATCCCTAAAGAGCCAGGCTGAGGCACACTACAAGGGTAACCGCCACGCCCGCCGAGTCAAAGGCATGGAGGCAGCCAAGACCCGAGGCAGGGAGCCTGGCATCCGGGAACCTGGAGACCCAGCTCCACCAGGCAGCACCCCCCCAAATGGGGATGGCATAGCCCCCCGTCCAGGTGTGTCTGAGACTCCCCGTCTTCTCCAGCTGATCTCTATTCTGTTCTCTGCCCATTTCCCAGAACTCTCCTCTGCCTCTCTGCCTCCTCCTCCTCCCTCCCCCCCGCGCGCTTTTCCTCCTCCACCCCCCCCCCCGCCCCCACCCAAGGTAAGTCCTGGAGCCAAGCACAATGACAGAAAATTTCCATCCTGTCACCCTCCCCCACCCCCACCCAGCTCTTCTCAACAGAGTTCCCACTGTCTGTCCTCCCCGCTGCCCAGTGACTCAGAGGGGCTAGGGTGAGGCCACCTGGCAAACCTCATCAAGGAAAGGGGAACCAATCTAGAGAGAGGCCCCCTCCTGGGGAGAGAGAATCAGGACATCAGAGTGCTGGCCCTGCCAGGGCTCCCCTCAGGGAAGACTGAGTCCAAGCAACCCAGGCAACTCCCTGGATGATGTTGGATAGACCTTTGGTCCCCTCTGGGCCAGAGTTTTCTTCTCTAGTAAGTAGGAGAGAGACTTTAAGACCGTTGAGGTCTTTCCCAGGTTTACAAAAAGCAACTCTGAAATTCTTTTTCCCTCATGGCTGGTGGCCATCCTTAACCACACTTCCAAGAAACAGGAGAAAAGAAATAAAGAGAGGAAGATATGAGCCGCCTCCATCCTGGGATTACAACATCAGACACGAGTCAGTCAGGGCCAGCTCTAGAGAGAGCTAATGTCCCCCTTGTCCCATTTCCTCCTACCCTGGCCTGCCTTTCCCACCCCACCTAAGAATAAGAAACAAGGCTCTGCACCACCAGTTTAGAACCCAGATTCCCCACTCTAACCACACACACACACACACACACACACACACACACACACACACACACAGAATCACCCTCACACATGCATAGGTGTAGAGGGAACAGGCATAAGTTCTGTTTGTGCTCCAGCTGCTTCCTAGCCCAGGCATCTGTAGTTTTTTTCCTATCTTAAGCATGCTTAGTTGGTTAATGTCTCTGTAACACGATAATGGTGGTGGCTGTTAACATGTCTTAAATAACACTGTTCTAGGTACTTTACACGCATTACCTCATTTAGTTCTCCATTCTCTCTGTCTGAGGATCCAGGGCAGGATGACTCTACCTGCCCTGATTTTATCAACCAGGTAGCCCTGTGCAGACTAGGATATGGACGTGCTGTCTGGGTTAGGATGAAGGTAGAGGATTCAGAAATGAAGACAATATAGAAGAGGAAGGATCACAGTACAGGAAACAAATGGACACCTGAGGGGTCAGATCCCCACCCCCACCACAGACCTCCCCATGACCCGGAAACTGGATCGGCTGCTACAACAAGAATGGGAGTGCTAGAGTTTCCCCGGCGCAGAGGCCAGAACCCAGTGCTGAGGCCTGGGCCTGTGCATCTTTAATCAGGGCATGAATTATAGAGCAGCCTGCATCCCTGTTTCTTCCCTCTCCAGTTCGGTTCTGCTGTTTCTGTTTCCCTTTGCTGTGTCTGCATCCATCTCTCCCTCCCTCATCCTGGTTCTGCCCTTTCTACAGCTCGTCAGTGGGCCTCCGTGGGGGCTGGGCAGGACTCTGGGCAGGGGATGTCCTGGCCGGAAGCCCAGGCTCACTGGCAGGCCACATGAGAGTGGGGTAAATCTTTCTTCTGTGTCTCTCCCCCTGGCTGGCAAGGACGCCAGTTTCACCCTCAAGGTAGGCTGGTGGGACTGGACCTCTTTGCCTATTCCTATCTTTGGGGAAATGCGCCAGGACTGGAGCCTCACACCCAGCCAGTGCAGCTGAACCGTGTCTGGCTGTGGCTCAGGGCATGAGAACATGCATGTTGTCACAGGGTGGGGATTCCTGGGTCCTTGCCCTCCAGGAAATGAGGAGTGGGGGTGTCCACAGGAAGTGGCTTCTCCAAGAGCCATCTGTAGTGACCCCCGTGTTTCTCCCCCAACAGTTTCCATGGAGAATGGACTGGGTCCAGCCCCAGGGTCCCCAGAGAAACAGCCTGGCTCCCCATCCCCTCCCAGTGTTCCAGAGACTGGCCGGGGTGTAACCAAGGGTGAAGGGGGTACTCCAGCCTCAGCTTCCTTGCCTGGGGGTAGCAAGGAAGAGGAGGAAAAAGCCAAGCGGCTGCTCTACTGTGCTCTGTGCAAGGTGGCTGTGAACTCCCTGTCCCAGCTTGAGGCACATAACAAAGGTATGGGCTCTCCTGCCCCCAGTCACGCTCCTGTCCCCCGACCACCCCTGCCTCCTACATCCTGACCTCCCCCATCCCTGGGCCCTCTGGGACCTACCAGCCTGTCTCCCTCCTTACCTCCCCCCCCACAGCTACCCACACTTTCCCCACAACTACCATATTGTAAGTGACAATTCCAATATTCGAGACCTGGCAGGCCTGGAGAATTTTTTCTCTACCCCTTTCCTTCTGCCCTCGGTGGGCTTTAGGTACTAAGCACAAGACAATTCTGGAGGCCCGAAGTGGGCTAGGGCCCATCAAAGCTTACCCTCGACTAGGGCCTCCCACCCCGGGGGAGCCAGAGGCTCCTGCCCAGGACCGAACCTTCCACTGTGAGATCTGCAACGTCAAGGTCAACTCGGAGGTCCAACTGAAACAGGTGGGTCTAAGGCCCTTCCCGGGAATTCTGGGGAGCTGTACCTGCTGAGGAAAGGAGAACAGGTGCTCGGGTGAGGGCCTTTTCAGGCTCTAACCCCTGTACCGGAGGCGAGGCCCGGGGCGTGGAGCACGGTCCTCAGCACTGCGGCCCCTTCCTACCTACTCACTCCCACATCCCGCCTCCGCAGCACATCTCCAGCCGGCGGCACAGAGATGGCGTGGCTGGGAAGCCCAACCCACTCCTGAGCCGTCACAAGAAGCCTAGGGGCGCCGGGGAGCTGGCGGTGAGGCCCGGGAGCTGGGGAATCGGGCCACGGGAGGACTCGGACGGGGTGGAGGGAAGGACGCAGAGCGGGCGGGGAAACGTGGGATTTACAGCACCGACGGGTGACCTTCTCTTTCCCGCCTCACCGTGCTTCAGGGCACGCTGACTTTCTCCAAGGAGCTGCCCAAGTCCCTGGCCGGCGGCCTGCTCCCTAGCCCCCTGGCGGTGGCTGCGGTGATGGCAGCGGCTGCGGGCTCCCCGCTGTCCCTGCGCCCAGCTCCGGCCGCACCTCTTCTACAGGGACCGCCGATCACCCACCCTCTACTCCACCCGGCTCCTGGACCCATCCGAACTGCGCACGGTCCCATTCTCTTCTCCCCCTACTGACCTCAACCCTGAACCCCTCCCATTCA